CTCTCCAGAAGTCTCCAGGGATCTTCAAGGACCTCCGGTGACCGCGGAGGGGGACCTCTGTGGTGACTTGCGTCGCGAGTCCTGAGCATGCGGGTCGCCACAGCACTCTCAGGCATGCAGCACCACACCCTCTGGACAGGGTCACGTTTCGGAATCCGAGTCGGCAGGATGGTAACGCGTCTCTCTCATGATGGGAAGTGCGGATGATGAGGTGAGGAAGGGGGAGGGACGGGGAGGAGTCAGATCATTTGGAAGCTGAGGCGGAGGAGAGAATGAGGAAGGGACGCAGGTGTGAGAGGAGGAGCGGGAGCAGGAAAAGGAGAGAGGGATGGGGGATGTGGAAGGGGAGCGAAGGAGAGCGGAGTCGGATTAGGACGAAGACCAGCATGAGGAAGCGGAATGTTGAGGGAGGTAGGAGGCGGAGGGGTGTGAAAAGGAGGAGTGGGGATAATGATGGATAAGGAAAGGGGAGGGATGAGGGAAGACAGGGGAGGAGGGATGAGGAGGGGGAGGGTGGGTAGGTTGGTTGGTTGGTTGGTTGGTTGGTTGGTTGGTTGGAGAGGGAGGAGGAGGAGGTGGAGGAAGAGGAGGAGGAGGAAGAGGAGGAGGAGGACCAGTTTAATGCCAAGAGTCATCAACGATGTTGCAATGAGCCTTTCCAGCAAGTTCCCTGTTCATAGGTCCCTACGAGGATTCGCTTCTTCTGAGGGAAGTGCTCCGTTGGAAGATAACCTCTGAAAATCCCGAACCGTGCCAGAACACCATCCTTGGGATTTGACTTCGACGCCGCGAACCAGCATTATTGTCGCGTCCTGACGATCCTAAATCACCATGCCAAAAAACCGTTCCTGGGACTTCAACACCGTCAGTCAAGGTCACTGTTGCGCCCTGAGAGTTCTGCATCGTGCCAAACACCGCTTCTTGGACGTCAGCCATAAGAATCCCTGAAACCTGTGCAAACTTTAAGAACGATCGGGGGTGGCTAGAACCCCCAACAGTGAGACGTCGATTAGTGAATTGTCCGTTTTCGGTTCTCGAGAGGGCGCCGTGGCCATTATTTTCCAGGTTTGCGCCCACCAGGTTTGGGCTTCAGGTCGTTTTCGCTAAACCACGTTTTACTAAAGTGGGGCCTGTACATCCCCGAAACGAATGTGCCCGGCGCTGGGGCGAGAGCCACATCTTGAAACGGTACCGCCCTCCGTCCGTGAAGCTCATGCGGTTTTTTTTGCGACGACGCTGGGGCGCGGGCCACATTTTGCAGACGACCCGCCCTCCATCCGTGAGGCTCTTGCAAACTTTCTCAGGCGAATGTGCGCGGCGCGTATAGGCGAGAGCCGCATTTTGAAAACGGCCCGCCCTCCATCCGTGTCACTTTGCAAGTACCAAGCTTACGGGCCATACACTCCTGAGGACATCTCGGGCGACAATCCCAGCCCTCCTTACCGACACGTGTTGGGGTGCGTCAGGAGTTATTCATAAAGACAAGGGGTGGAAACGCAGGCGGAGGACCAGTGTAACCCCAAGATTCATCAAGAATTTTTCAAGAAACCCTTCCAAGTTCCTACTTCATATGCCCCTACATCTGGTCAAGTTCACTGATGACAGTGTCATGTTGGAAGACAGCCGTCAGAACATCCAAGACCGTGCCAGAACACCATCCTTGGGACATCAACGCCGCGCATCAAGATTACTGTTGCGTCCTGACGATCCTAAATCACCATGCCAAAATACCGCTCCTGGGACTTCAACACCGCCAATCAAGGTGACTGGTGCGCCCTGACAGTTCTACATCGTGCCGGAACGCCGTTTCTTAGATGTCAGCCATTAGATTCCATGGAACTCTCTCTGCGACTTGAAAGACGAATGTGCGGGGCGCTGTGGCAAGAACCACATTTTGAAAACGACCCGCCCTTCATCCGTGAAGCCCTTACCAACTTTTGAGACGAGTATGCGCGAAGCTGGGCGAGAGCCACATTTTGAGAACGACCCGCCCGCCATCCGTGACACTGATGTAATTACATGGGGAACTCCAGGATCATAGCTTGCGAAGAAGTCTCGGGCGAAACGCCCGGCCCACCGTACCATCACGTGTCGGGGTGCGACAGAGGAGTTATCTATAAGGACGGGCTGGAGGAAGAGGAGGGTTCATCAGTGATATTGCAAGAAGCCCTCCCTCCCAGTTTCCTCTTCATAGGCCCCCACATGTGATCAAGTCCATTGAGGAAAGCTCCACGCTGGAAGACAGCCGTTTGGAAATCCTCCTTGGGTCTTCAATGCCGCGAATCAGCGCTATTGTTGCGTCCTGGCGGTCCTAGTCCCAGATCACCGTGCCAACATATCGCAAATCACTGTTGTGCCCGGGCAGTCCTACTCCGTGCCAAGCACAGTTTCTGGGGCTTCAGCCATGAGAATCTTTGAATTTGGTGCAAGCTCTCTAGGCGAATGTGCGCGGCGCCAGGGCGAGAGCCACATTTTGAAAAGGTACCGCCCTGCGTCCGTGAAGCTCCCGCTTTTTTTCCGACGAATGTGCGTGACGCGGGGGCGAGAGTCATATGTTCTGATCGTGCCAGAATTCCAAATCGATCCGAAATCGTAGCTGAGTGGAGACTGGAAGGGGGCAGGATGACCAGTGGCCGACGGGACGGGCCGCTGCAGCGTCTGGCGAACAGTCGGAGGCCGCCTCCTGCCCCGAAGCCCAGTCACTGTCTGGGCTGGCAGGCCTTCTGAGGAGGAGTATAAGAGGAGGAGGCAGAGGAGGAGGAGGAGGGGAAGTCATGAGGTGGTGGGCCGGAACGCGGATCGTCAGCACAGAGGTCACTTGATCTCGAAGTTTTTTGGCTCAAGATTCGTCGGCCCGTGGCGCCTGGAGCTGGACCGAAGGGCCCCCAAAGACTGCATCGGGTCGATATTTGGGGAACGAAGAATGACACAAACATGAAAACTCGGAGTTCCGCGCAGATTTATCGGATCGGCGCCAGAGTCGCCGCCAGGGGGGTCCAGCGCCGATCCGAGATATCCGCGCGGACCTCCGAGTATTTACGTTCATGGCATTTTCCGTTCCCCCTGGTATGGGGGAAGGTGATGACGATGCGCTCGACAACGACGCGATCGTCGTGGTCGAAGCGTGCTGCTGCTATTACAATGGCTGCCTCTTCTCGGACGGGCCCTCGAGGGAGGAAGCACTGGTGGGCCCATTCTCCCCCACCACAACCAGAAGTAGTAGAGGGAGGAGGAGGAGGAGGAGAAGGAGGAGGAGGAGGAGGAGGAGGAGGAGTACCACCTCCTCATCCTAAAAACTACATGTGGTAGTAGTGGTGGAACATTTGCCCATCAAGCGCGATGACCCTGACCACGATGTCGCGGGATCTTATCGACGTCGATGTTCGTCATGGTCCGTGCTGGCCGACGCCGATCTGGGATCCTGCGACGCCGATTCGTGGGGAGGATCCACGAACTGACGATGACCAGGATGGACGACGGCCAAGATCGGCACCAACCTGTCCGCGCTCAGTCCTGGCCATGGTCCTCGTGTTCGTTCCCTCCAGGTGCTTCGGGTGCATGTGGAGCGAGACCATCTGCTGCTGCGAGCTAGAGCTCTGTTGCAAGTCGGGCCAGGACTCGCCAGATGGAGAGAGTTTGATGGACACTGGAAGCTTGCCATCTCCCTCTGGCTCCTCCCCCTCCTCGTTCAACAGACTGCGCCCTGGAAGTGAAGAAACTTTGACAACAGTCCGTCCAGGACTATCTCTGCTGCGGCTGCTGCGCGCTGCGCTTCGTCTCGCCCGAAGTGTGCTGCAAGTCGCAGGGGCAGGTGTGCTGCTGCGCCGGGGCGTCCGGCATCCCGTGCGACGACGAGGCTCGGCGGCGCCTCGCGTGTGTCTGGGGCGGGGGGCGGCCTTCCCAAAGTCTAGTGTGCTGCCAGGAGTGCTCCTGGCCCAAAGTGCCCCTCCAGCTCTTCGCGCTATGTTCTCTATCTCCCCTGGGGCCTCCTCGGCCTCGTGGGGGGTGGCACCGGGAGCCTTTTTCGTCTCCCCGGGGATCTGGGAGGCACGCCCTGGGCCAGGGCCACTTCTGGCACCCCAGCGACGGGAAGGCCCACGGAGGGGCCTCCCTCGGCGGCCTCGGAGATGTTTTTTTTTTTGCTCTGACAAAGACCAGCCGCACGCGTACCAGCCTGCTTAAAAACACGATTGAGGCCAGCGACGGAGACGCTATTCGACCCAGCTCCTCGCCAAGCGGGAGAGGTCGTCGTTGTCGTCCGAGTCGCTGGCATTGGGGAGGCCAAACACGTCCTCCCACAAGGCCGACTGGGGACAGGAAGGGGCCCGGGGGTGGAGCTTGCGCGGTCTGCGGCACCCCGTCCTCGGGGCCCGATCCTTCGGGACACCGCCTCTGCACCGCCGCCTCCTGGAGCTCGGGGGGGGGCGTGGCCGGGGCCCCCCTTCTGGATGCCTCCGCGCAAGCGGGCGCCCTCGGAGGGCGCCGGGCGGCCGCGTCGGGCTGCAGGGGACGGGGGGCCACTGCCAAGCGGGGGTCCGCCGGAGCGCGGGGTCTTGCAGGGTCCTGCAGGGCCAATGCTGCACTGGCCTGGGTCAGCGCGCAGGGTCCTGCAGAGTCCCGCAGGCTCTTGCGGGATCCTGCAGCGCCCGATTGACCTGGGTTCGGATCACGGTCGGGCCGGGGCATGCGATCGAGACTGGCTCGTGGGGGCTACCCTGATGCCCTGATGTCCTTCGTGCTTGTTGAATGTTCTGGTGCATCTTGGGGGAGGGTACCCTCGAAAGTGCTTCACTTTGGCCGGCGGAGGGCCTCATGATCTCGAGGGATGTTCGTCTGTCCTATGCCTGGCCGTCACCCATGACGCCTCCCTACCCTCGTCTTCGCTTTTCGTTGGCCTCCTGGCAGGCCCTCGTCGCCACCGCTGGATTCGCCTCGAGATTCGGGCCAGAACGCACCCCGAGACAGGTCCGCGGAGCAGCGGTATGTCAGTAACCTTCGATCTCCCCTGGAACATATCCCTGTCCCTATGCTGGGCATCTCCTCATCACGATGCCAATCTTAGGAATTCCCTTATTTTTTGAGGGCGCATCCCTAAGATTGTCATGGCCTTTTGGCGTGTCAATCTTAGGGATAGGGATACGTTCGAGGCTGGTAACAGGAGGCAGGGCCCCGTCTCCTCCCTCCTCCCTCGACACGGGCCCCCAGACCTCTGGGCCCATGCCTCTGGGCCGTCACCCCGCTCCCTCCGGGCTGCCCCTTAAGAGAAGGCCCCCGGGGCCCGAGAACCAGGCCCTCCGCCGCTGCCGCGCACGCTCCGGGAGGTCCGGCCGCGGCCCTGGTCCGCAGATCCCCGGCAGGCGGGGGGGGCCCCTATGGAGGCGCCGCCCGCCTCGCCCTGCCCCCCGGGGGCTTGCGACCCCCCCGCCCCGCGGCGTCATCTGCGGCCCCAGAGCTCCCGACCCCCTCGCCCCTCTTCCTCCTCCTCCTCCTCCTCCTCCTCCTCCTCCTCCTCCTCCTCGACCTCCGCCTCCTGCTTCTCCTCCTCCTCCTCCTCATGCTCCTCCTCGACCTCCTCCATTCCTTTCCCTTATAGACGTCTCCCTGTCGCATCCCGAAGCCAGTTTCTAGGGCGGGCCGGACGTTTCGCCTGATACTTCTTCACCACGTATGACTCTGAAGCTTCCACATTGGCAGCAGCTTCACAGATCGAGGGCGGGTCGTTTTCAACATGTGGCTCTCGCTTCAGCGCCGCGCACATTCGTCTTAAACATTTGCAAGAGTTTTGCGGATTGAGGGCGGTTCCTTTTCAAAATGTGGCTCTCGCCTTAGCGCCGCGCACATTCCTTTTAAATATTTGCAAGAATTTCACGGATTGAGGGCGGTTCCTTTTCAACATGTGGCTCTCGCTTTAGCGCCACGAACATTCGTTTTTTTCGGGACGTTTGCAAGAGATTCACGGATTCCCATGATCCACGCACCAGAAATGTTAGTTTGGAAGGGTTCATGCTTATGAAGGTGCACAAGTGTTGATTCGTGGTGTTCAAGTTCCAGGAATGGCGCTCTGGCACGATTCAGGATAGTCAAGACGCAACAGTCAGGTTGAGCTTTGGAATCCTGAGAACAATGTCTTGGCATGCTTCGGTCTTCAAACAGCAAACGAGGCAGTTCTTTCAGTAGAACTGAACCGAGGTAGGGGCCGATGAAGAGGGAGCTAGGAGGGAGGGTGTACTCCAGCATCGTTGATGCCTCTTGGGTTTATAGTGGTCCTCCCCCTCCCTCCTCCTCCTCCTCCTCCTCCTCCTCCTCCTCCTCCTCCTCCTCTTATTCTTCCTCGTCGACCTGCTCCTGCTCCTCCTCCTCCTCCTCCTCCGCTTGCTCCTCCTCCTCCTGCTTGTCCCTCTTCTCCTCCCTCCTCCCCCTGCTCCTCCTGCTCCTCCTGTTCTTCCTCCTGGTCCTCCGTCTCGATCTGCCTCGGTCCTCCAAGAACCTCCTCCTCCTCCTCCTCCTCCTCTTTCTCCTCCTCCTCCACGGGCCAGCTTGTCGCTCCAGATCCGTTCTCGATGGACCCCCGGGGCTCGACTGGACGCCGGGGGCCGAGATCGAGCAGACCGGCAGCGAGTGAAGCGATCGGATCGTCGGCGGCCTGGGCCGCCGGGAGGTGCCCTGCATGTTCGGCACGTGCGGCATCATCTGCTACCCGGGGCTCAACGTCTGCAAGACTCTCGGCGAGATCCGGCGGGGTGGCGAGGGCGGGGACGCCAACGACGAGCCCTCGGCGTCCGACTGAGCCCGTCGGCCGTTGGGGGCTGCGGCAGCAGTCCGCCCCGAGACGAGGCATGCACGGCAGGCTCGCGCCGCGTCGGCGGTGCGGCGGCGCCGGCGCTGGCGAAAGCCGCTGTCGCGCCGGCGGCCTTCGCCGGGCCATTCTTGACCGATCTGCGCCAGCCGCCAGCGGAGAGCCGCGGTCGTTCCAGGTTGCACCATGTGCGCGGTGTCGCACGTCCGACCGCAGGGGTTTGGCGCTGTCGGATCGCTGCGCGCAAGGGGCTGAGCGATCCGCGCGGTGTCAGAGACCCACGTCAACGCCATCGCCGCGTGAACTCGCCGAAGCCGGCAAGCCACCACATTTTCCAGCTGGGTGGCACGTGAATCGATTCATCACCCCGGCCCGCCGCCTGCGCCCTGCGCGCGAGTTGCCGGCCGGGGGCGCGAACATCCGCCCTGCTTCGGAGGGGAGGCGATGGCCGAGGCACTGGTGTCCCCCACCAGCCCAGAAGCGGAGTTTCGTGGAGACCCCACCCTTTCAAGTCGATTAGGGAGTTGCCTTGCTTCGGTTCTCAAGGGGGCGTTCAGGCCGCAGTTTTTGCGGACCTGCGCTCGCAGGGTCTGGTCCCTGGTCGTTCTCTTCAAAGGTTGTCTTGCTAAAGGGGCTTCTTCGAGCAGTGGCGAAGCGTCCTGGCTTGCTTATAGGCCCACCAGAGACTGTTCTAAGAACCTGTTGTGGTCTGCAGGACATGTCCTTAGAACCTTGTCTGGCTGAGGCTGTCTTTTTTACCACGTCCAGTGTACGTTCTGCGAACATGCACTCTGCTCCTGGAGCGTGCTTGGGTTCTGAGAGGATTTCGTGCTATAGGCCCATAGGAATGCTGGGACGGTCTGTCCCTGCTCAGTGTCTGCCCATCCATCCCCCGAGAGACGTGGGGCGGGGCGGGCGGCGCGGGAGCCCAGGCGGAGCAGCTGGGTCGGCCGAGGGGGGTCTCGGGGGCGGCCGAGGGCCAACAGGGGGGGCGATGACTGGGGGGGGAGGATGTCATGGCCAGGGCCACGGTACAGTCGGGGCCCTGAAGAAGGAACCCTTTTCGTTGGGGAGGGGCTCCGCGTTCCTTAAGTGTTTCGCAGCTTGCCTCAGGTTTTCCTTATGTTTTCGATCGGACATCGAAATTTAACTTATGGACAAAAGGGGCCTCGTTCCTTATTTTGAGGTCCTTAGGTCAAGGCCCCGACTGTATCTCCCTGGATTCGGGGCTCAAGTTTCCAGGCCTCCTGGATGGGGTCCGTGTTTAGATGGGGTCGGAGGATCGCGCCGCACCGCCGATGCATCGCGGATGCGGCTGGATGTGGAGTCCGTGTTTCCCCACGTCGACGTCGCCGAAGCATCGCCGACGTCGGCGATGCATTGGCGATGCGGCGCGATCCTTCGACCCCATCTACTCGGACCCTATCCAGGAGGCCTCTATCAAGGGGCCGGGGGCGGCCGATGGCCCAGAGGGGCTGTCGCCTGGGGGGGGGGGGGGGGGGCAGATGTCATGGCCGGGGCTATGGCATCTCCCTGGATTGGCCCCCCCTCCTGTTCGGCGGCCTCGTGGCGAAGCTCAGCGCAAGCGGGGGCAAGCAGGAATCCTGCGGGGCCAGGGGAGCACTGACCCTGGCTTGGGCGCAGGATCCTTCAGGATCCCCCATCAAGGCGGGCCTGTCCCTCTACAGGAGGAATATTCAAAATAGTAAAAAAATAATATGGGGACTATTTTTTGACCATTTCGGAGCATTTTTTTGTTATTAATGTCCACAATCCACCTGTAGGGGGGCATGCCCGACTTAAATCTTGCAGGATCCTGCAAATTATCACTGACCAGTATTTGGATTGATGGGGGCCAGTAGATCCCCAAGGGATTGGCCCCCTTTTCTTCTCGCGAAGGCCCTGTGGCCGGTGCCGCCGACCCAGAAGGGGGACGACGACGACGACGACGACGGCGGACGACGACGATACCCACGACGACGACGACGACGAACATTCCGAGGCGTAAGAGAAGCTATGCTTTTTGCTCTTCTTGAGGTTCCCGTGGGAGTGCTCTTGGGGCTGCCTCTTGGGGCCTCTCGGACTCTTAGGGGCCTCTTGGGGCGGATGGCTCGAAATATCGGTTGGCGATCCCCCTCGGTAACTGATTGGAGTCTTTTTCGACCGTCTTGGGGCCTTTTTGGGCTGTCTTGGGGCTGTCTTGGGGCCGTCTTGGGACCGTCTTGGGGCCGCCTTGGGCCGTTTGGGGGCGCTTTCGGCAGCCTGTTGGGCTTTTGGTAATTACGATTTTTGTGGGCTGCCTGGGCCGCTTTGGAGCGTCGGAAGACCGAACAAGCGAGGACGTGGAGCACATCGAACAACTTGGTGAACATGCATGCTTTTCGCCTCTTGGGGCCCTCTGGTGGCTCCTCGTTGAGCTCTCTTGGGGCGTCTCAGGGGTTTCTGAGGCCGCTTTGAGGGCATCTTGCGCCGTCTTGAAGCGTTCCTGGGCTGTTTCAGGGCCACCTTGGAGCAAGCCGCAGTACAAGTGAGCTCGAGGCGCCTGGGAGGCAGTAGATCGAAGGGGGTCCCTCCCCTTGGGGGGGGACCCCATTCGATTTATTGCCCAGGACAATTGGTCCCTCCCCGTCCTCCCAGAGAACCCCCATTCCTCCCAGGGAAGGGTGTTTCCCCTCCCCTGGGAGGAAGGGGTGTTTCCTCCCCTTCCTTCCATGGGGAAACTTTAGTTCAATCGAAGGGAAACCCCCCGTTTTCCCAGGGACAGATGGTCCCTCCTCCATTGGGCGGGGTCACAGCCCCCGGGACCCCCCCCCCGGAGACCGCCCCTCCCCTCCCCCCCTTGGCGGGGGAGGGAGCAAACGGAAGGGGCTTCCTTGTAGCTCGTTGCTGGATTTCCTTCTGCCGGGATCGCTCGAGGAGGAGGGCCCAGGGAAAGGGGGGGGGGAGCGGCGACGGCGGCGGCGACAACGACGACGACGACGACGACGACCACGATGCCTCAAACGGAATAGTCTCAGTGGGGGGAGCGTCGACGACAACGACAATTCAGACGGAATGCGCGTCTTACACACGCCGACACGGTCGGCGGATAACGGGAAGCGCTTTCTCGGAACGAGAAGGCGATGGGAGTTTGTTCGGCGACGTTGCATAAGGAATAGATGAAGAACAATCTCGCGAGGGACAACTGGCTCGCGATTGCAAAGGTAATTTGCTTGGCGGATGACGGGACGCGCCTTCTCGGAACGAGAAGGTGATGGGAGTTTTCTAGCATGTGCGGACTAAGGTATAAATAAAGAACGAACTCGCGAGGGACAACTGGCTGCCGATCGTAAAGGTCAATCGCTGGCGGATTCTCCTCAGGATGTCAGTTTCGAGACGTCTTTTGTTAAACATGAGTCTCTCGCTCGAGACATCCTCGGAAATGAGCGACTGAGCTCGCTCACGAAATTCAGTGAATCGTTGGAAATTGCCGTTTCGCCTGAGACATCCTCGAGCAATTGAAATATTGAAGCCGTGTGGTTAACTAAGACGTCTTTCGTTAAACATGAGGCTCTCGCTAGAGACATCCTCGGAAAACGGCATTCGCAGCGTCTTAGCTTGAGGTCCTGTCTCCTCCGTCTCTTCCGCCGCCTCCGTCTCGTACGCCGCCTCCGTCTCTGAGGTCTCCTCCGGCTCGGAGGTCTCCTCTGTCGCTCCTCTGTCTCTTCCGTCTCCTCCGTCCTCCCCCTCCGCTTCTTGTCTTCTTCCCCTTCCTCCTCCTCCTCCTCATCCTCCTCCTCCTCGTCCTCCTCCTCCTCCTCCTCCTCATTCTCTCCCTCCTTCATCACGCACGCACGCCGTACATACCCCCCGCCCGTCGCCCCCATAACACATCCTGCACGCACGTCGTACATCCCCCCGCCCGTCGCCCCCAGAACACATCCCGCACGCACGCCGTACATCCCCCCCGGCCGTCGCCCCCACAACACATCCCGCACGCACGCCGTACAACCCCCCCCGCCCGTCGCTCCCAGAACACATCCCGCACGCACGCCGTACATCCCCCCCTCCCGTCGCTACCAGCACACGCGCGCACACACGCACACAGCCGCTCATCCAGGCACATACACAGGCACGCGTACATACACGCACGCTCGCACCAGAGTAACCACAGCAACCAGAGGCAACCACTAAGCTCGGAGAAGCAACCACTAATCCAGCTTTCCGCGTGCAACGCGAGCTCTGGCGAACTCTCTGTGGGGAAGGCGCTTGGGCCCCCTCCCCCCCGCGCGATTCCTGGCTTATCGTCTGTGGGTGGGTGGGGGGGCTCGTGCGGCAGCAGCAGCAACGGCAGCAGCAGCAGGAACAGTGGGAGGACGTCGAAGAGGGGAATGAGGAGGAGGAGGAGGAAGGAGAGGGGGAGGAGAAGGATAGGGAGGAGGCAAGGCCAGCGCGGCAGACCAGCACGACAAACCAGCGCGGCACGCCGACGCGGAGCTCTTTGGCGTGCTCGACCAGGCGTTATCTGACAAGCCTTGTGGACAAAGCGGCGCTTCCCGTTCTTGTCTGGTCAGGCTCCCCAGGAATAGGCGTTTCGCCCTAGACAACTTCGAAGCACTGAGATGTTGAAGCCGTATGGTTGCGATCCCTTTCGTTGAAAAATGAGGCTCTCGCCCGGGACATCCTCGGGCAGTGGGCTACTGGGCTCGCTCGCGACATCTAGCGAATCTTTCGGCTGTGCGAGTCAGAAGCTTGGCGCATTAAAGCGGCCATGCGGACTCAAACGTCAAGCAGGACACGCGACCATCATCATCAGCATCATCGTCATCAGCATCATCGCCATCATCGTCAGCGTTCGCAGCAGCATCATCATCGTCACCACCATGGACAGTATCACCGTCATCGCCGTCGTCATCACCATCGTCAGTGCCATTGCCATCGCTGACTGCCACACGACGCAATACACGACGCATGCAACACAGAACTCATGACACACCCCCAGCACTCAAATGGCCATGTAGATACGTACACCACGCGCAGACCAGACTCATGCCGTACATCCCCCCCGCCCGTCCCCCCAGAACACATCCTGCACGCCCGCCGTGCGCCCCCCCGCCCGCCGCCCCCAGATCGCACCCCGCACGCCCACCGTACATCCCCCCGCCCGTCCCCCCCAGAGCACACCTCGCACGCACGCCGTGCACCCCCCGTCCCGCCCGCCCAGCACACGCCCTGCACGCACAGCCAGACACGCGCACACAGCCGCACACAGGCACACAGCCGCACACAGGCACGCAGCCGCACACAGCCGCACACAGGCATACAGCCGCACACAGGCACACAGGCATACAGGCACACAGGCACACATACATACACACACACACGCACACACAGAGACACACAGAGACACACACACAGAGACACACAGAGACACACACAGAGACACACAGAGACACAGAGACATACAGACACACAAACATACAGACACACAGACACACCGACACACAGACACACAGGCACAGACACACATGCACGCACGCACGTACGCTCGCACGCTCGCGCGCACGCGCGCACGCACGCACGCTCGCACGCTCGCACGCACACGCAAACACGCACACACGCACGCACACACACGCACACACACACGCACACGCACACGCACACGCACACGCACACGCACACACGCACACACGCACACACGCACACACGCACACACACGCACACACGCACACACGCGCACACGGACACACGCACACACGCACACACGCACACACGCGCACACGCACACACGCGCACAACACGCGCACGCGCGCACGCGCGCACGCGCGCACACGCGCACACGCGCACACGCGCACACGCGCACACGCGCACACGCGCACACGCGCACACGCGCACACGCGCACACGCGCACACGCGCACACGCGCACACGAGCACACGCGCACACGCGCACACGCGCACACGCGCACACGCGCACACGCGCACACGCGCACACGCGCACACGCGCACACGCGCACACGCGCACACACGCGCACACGCGCACACGCGCGCGCACGCGCGCACGCGCGCACACGCGCACACGCGCACACGCGCACACGCGCACACGCGCACACGCGCACACGCGCACACGCGCACACGCGCACACGCGCACACGCGCACACGCGCACACGCGCACACGCGCACACGCGCACACGCGCACACGCGCACACGCGCACACGCGCACACGCGCACACGCGAACACGCGCACACGCGCACACGCGCACACGCGCACACGCGCACACGCGCACACGCGCACACGCGCACACGCGCACACGCGCACACGCGCACACGCGCACACGCGCACACGCGCACACGCGCACACGCGCACACGCGCACACGCGCACGCGCGCAAACGCGCACACGCACACGCGCACACGCGCACACGCGCACACGCGCACACGCGCACACGCGCACACGCGCACACGCGCACACGCGCACACGCGCTCACGCGCACACGCGCACACGCGCACACGCGCACACGCGCACACGCGCACACGCGCACACGCGCACACACGCACACACGCGCACACGCGCACACGCGCAACACGCGCACACGCGCACACGCGCACACGCGCACACGCGCAACACGCGCAACACGCGCACACGCGCACACGCGCACACGCGCACACGCGCACACACGCACACGGCGCGCGCGCGCACGCGCGCACGCGCGCACGCGCGCGCAGCGCGCACGCGCGCACGCGCGCACGCCGCACCGCGCGCTACGCGCGCACGCGCAGACGCGCAGACGCGCAGACGCGCAGACGCGCAGACGCGCAGACGCGCAGACGCGCAGACGCGCAGACGCGCAGACGCGCAGACGCGCAGACGCGCAGACGCGCAGACGCGCAGACGCGCAGACGCGCAGACGCGCAGACGCTCAGACGCGCAGACGCGCAGACGCGCAGACGCGCAGACGCGCAGACGCGCAGACGCGCAGACGCGCAGACGCGCAGACGCGCACCCGCGCAGACGCGCACCCGCGCAGACGCGCAGACGCGCAGATGCGCAGACGCGCAGACGCGCAGACGCGCAGACGCGCAGACGCGCACCCGCACGCGCACGCGCACGCGCACGCGCACACGCACACGCACACGCACACGCGCGCGCACGCGCACACGCGCGCGCGCACGCGCACGCGCACGCGCACGCGCACACGTGCACGCACACGCACACGCACACGCACACGCGCACGCACACACACACACACACACCACACACACCACGCACATACACACATATACACATACACACATGCAGTTAAACACTCACACACTTACACGCTTACACATTCATATATTTACACACCTACACACACCTACACACTTACACACCTACACACTTACACACTTACACACATACACACTTACATTTACACAGAGTCACACAGTCACACAGTCACACAGTCACACAGTCACACGCACACATACACACAGTCGCTCGGGTCCAAGTCGGGATCGCAGGGCGCGCGCGGCGGGCCCGCGGCCGCTCCGATGCCCGCGACGGGTGACGCGCGCCGTGGGGCCCTCGAGGCCGCCCACGGCGCCCTCCTGGCTGCTCATGCGGCCACCGGTCTCGCCATGGGGGCGTCCCGTGCAGGGGACTTGCCTCTTGAGGGCTGCGGAGGGCCTTCTCCGGCTGGCGATCGCCGGCCTGGGCAGTGGGCCCCGCAGCTCGCCCCCGACCGACGCCCGCCCTCCTCTCGACGCCGCTGTCGACGGCCCTGCTGATGCTGCCGCGGCTGGCCTGCCGCCTCGAGGCGTCCCCGCGCCTCGGCGCAAGCGCCGCCGCGCGCGCCGCCGGCGTGCCCGAGCTGCCGACCCTGGTGTCGCTGAGAAGATGGACGTGGCGGAGGCGGCCGCCAGCGAGCTCGACGACGCCTGGGCGGACGAGCTGCCCGTGGCGCGCCCGCAGCCGCTGGCTGCTGGGCCTTCCGCAGGCGGCGCCCGCCCTGCATGCGCTCTCCCGCCCCGTGAGTCGCCTGGAGCGGGGTTCGGCGGCGAGGGAGGAAGCGCCGCGCCGACGGGGACAAGGTTCGATGCTCGCGATGGCGGCCCTCGGGAGGCCTGGCAGCCCTCAGGACGCGGACGGCGGCGCTGTCCCTGCGCCTGGCTTCGCCGCCTGGGAACCGCCCCCCTCCCCATGGAGGCGGCGTCGGCAGCCTGCGACCACGACGAGGACGCGCTGACCCCCACAGAGCAGAAGATGATCGAGGATGTCACGGAGGCTTTGCGGTCGATCCCCCTTCGACGAGCTTGATGGTGAGAGGTGGTCAGCCCCTCGGCGGACCGCCTGTGGCCATTGGGTTTGCCCCGAGCATGGCCATCGGCTGGCCCCCTGGGGCGGCCCCCGGGCGCGCCTGCGCAAGGCAGGTCGTGCTGAGGGTGCGAATGTTCTTGCAGTCGGTGATTTGCGAATTGCCTGCTCTGGGGTCTCGGGATTATATCATCTCGGATTTCTGAGCGGCCCGCGCGGGCCCCCGCTGGTGCGGGCCGCGGCCACTTGCTTTCACGCGGCTGGGCGCGCGCCCTCGGCGGCCCGACGCACGCGCGCGCGCAGGCGAGGCGCAACACCTGACCAAAGCAAGCGCAGACAACCACTAAACATAAGCTGCCAGTGGCGACCATCTGGGCGCGCGGGGGATCCCAGCGATTCCACCCCATGCGCACGCATGCGCGTTGGACGCAACTCCATGCGCGCGTGCGCGCGCAAGCTCAGGGAAGCCGCTCGCCCCGGTCTTGTCCCGAAAGGTTTCCATGCGCCCCTCCGGCCCCCCTGGGCCGCGCGCGTGCCTCGGGCCATGATTTCCGAAGCCCCCTCTTGGACGGCCCCATCATTGGGCGTCCCCTGGGAATCGCCTCCGCCGCCAGGTGCTTTCTTCGATGCCTTGGCACCTCGGGCGCCGGGAGGCGCTGGGAAAATCAGTCATATCTTCCCGCGGTGAGTCGCTATCCACCCTGAACTTTTCGCCCAACCCGAAGCATTTCCAGTTGGAGAAGGGAGGGGCTCCATCTGGTGGGGCTCCAGCTGGCTCTGGCCTCTTGTCAGCGGGGCGACGCGAGGTCCAGCGGGGGCATGCCGAGCTTGAGCGGAGCCTTGCCCGGGGGGGGGGACTTGAACCCAGACTATGCATCAGCGGGTCGGTTTTCTTTCATACAAAGATATACATACACGACCGCCCTTCGGGTGATAAGGAAGTTGGGGGGGGAGGGGGGGGGGGGGGGCCGACGTCTCACTCGATCGGTCTCACTATCGATCTTACGATCGATATCACTAGCGGTCGCGCTCGATACATCTCACTCGATCGATCTCACAATCGATATCACTCGATCCATTTCATTCGATCGATCTCATAATCGATCTCACAACCGATCTCACAACCGATCTCACGACCGATCTCCCTATCGATCTCACAATATATTTCACAGCCGGTCTCACTATCGATTTCATTATCGATATCGCAATCGATATCACAATCAACGTCATCTTCATCATCGGCATCATCGTCATCAACGTCATCGGCATCATCATCATCGGGACACCGTCACCCACATCATCATTTCATCACCAGCACCATCAACACCATCATCATCACCATTATCATCATCATCGATACACCATCATCTTCATCAGCATCATCAACATCACCATCATCGGGACACCATCATCACCATCATCGGAACACCACCATCATCATGTCATCAGCATCATGAACAACATCGTCAGCACCATCATCATTGTCATCATCACCATCATCGGGACACCATCAGCATCATCACCAACTTCATCATCATCGGGACACCATCGTCATCACCGTCATCATCACCGGGACACCACCATCATCACCATCAGCAACATCAGCGTCATCGGGCCACTATCATCAACATCACCATCACATCATCATCCTCCTCATCGTCAACGTCATCACCATCATCATCGAACACCATCATCGCCATCCGCATCAGCATCATCACCATCGGGATACCATCGCCATCATCATCAACAGCATCAGCATCAACCGCATCATCATCCCCATCGGGACACCATCACCATCGTCATCTTATTCATCATCATAAACCCCTCATTTTAACATCCGCAACATCATCAGGGTCATCTATTTCATCATCGTCATCATCGGGACACCATCATCATGATCAGCAGCACCAGCAGCATCATCAGCTTCATCATCATCGGGGCACCAGCATCATCACCACCATGGCCATCATCATCATCACCATCATCATCACCATCGTCGGTACACCCGCATATTCACCATCATCATCGTCAACACCATCATCATCGGGACACCATCATAAACCTCACCACCACAACACCATCATCATCACATCATCACCATCATGGGCAACATCATCACCATCATCAGCATCGGGACACCGTCACCATCGTCATCATCATCATCATCATCTGGGCACCGTCATCACCACCAACGTCAGCATCATCATCATCATCATCGGGCCACCACCATCAAAATCAGAAGCATCACCTTATCATCATCCTCAGCTTCAACTTCAGTATCATCATCATCATCGGGACACCATCATCGTCAACATCATCATCAACCCCATCATCATCATCATCATCATCATTGGGGCACCAACATCATTAGCACAAGCAGCCTCATTAAGTGCAGCACCATCGTCATCCGGACACCATCATCACCACCATCA